TGGGCAATCTTTACGTTTCGCTTTTTTGTGTATACGATTTCGTTGCCTTATTCTTAGACGTATACTATTATTCATGAATGGTTTATCTCGTGGCCTAATTGTGACTACCTTTTTAGGTATATGTTTATCCAAGATAGCATCATACGTGTGTAAGAAATTATCATATATTTCATTTATGTTTGAGGAATTAAAGACTGTGGAGTCCCAATTGACTTTGTTAAGATCATTTTCAATATCTTTAAAATTAACATCCTCATAGTTTCTTATGGTGCATTTATAAGCATATTGTTTGAAAGTTTTGTATTTTATATCAAAACTAACAGGTGAATGTGTACTACAGAATGGAGATGCTACATACACATTATCTACCATACTTAGATTATTGGTGAAAACTAAATCTATACAAGTACCAGGAGTAGTTGTAAAATTTGTTGGTTCATTAATCAGGTTTAATAAATTTTTTTGTATCATACATTGTTTAAAAATATTATTTCCACTGCTCAACATATCAATGTTAAAATCACCCATAAGAAATACTGGCATGGACTCATTTGATACTATATCTAGTGAATCAGAAAGACGCTCAAAGTAGGAGACAGTGGAATTAGGTGGTCGATATATTAAACCAAGTAAAATTTTCTTATTATCTTGCATATGTATTTCACTCCACAGAAGCTCAATGTCAGTAATATTAAGATCATCTCTTATGATAAAATGCAAGTCTAGGGAAATATAAAACAGTATTCCACCCCCAAACCTATTACGATCCTTTCTAATCGGAGGATGAAAACCATGAAACATGATTTCATCATTGGATATATTATTATCAAGGTGAGTTTCAGTAATGCCAATAATATCATATTCAGACAACTCATTATAAACCACATCAACTTTGTTAAGTAAACTACATACATTATTATGGACTATGCTTAAATTTCGAGTTCCAGAATTATTTGGTATTGGTCCAGGGTTTGTTTCTAAATTACCCATTATGAGTAAAAAACCCAATACTAAAATATAATAATGAGAATTATTGAACACATTTAAAAATGCAGATGTATGTGATTCAACATTGAGCCATATGAACCTCAAGTCTGAATAGTTACATATAAGTGACAGACAATCTGGAATATATAAATAATTCGGGAGACTCTGGTTTTTAGCACATAAAAGAAAATTAATCATGTGTATCATAAGTTATCAATTGAATAATTAGAAAAAATACCTGAGTCTCACCACATGGTACACACAGGATGTTGACATGTTCAAAATAAATATAGAATTTGAAAGGATCAACAATTTCCGGAGCAGTAAACAATTTTTTCCGTTTTTCGCCAACTTGGAGGATATACGTACATGTATAATTTGTAACAAGAATTCCATAATAATTTGATAAGATTATACTCAGCATTTTAAGTGCAAAATAATTACACTGGTACGAAAATAAAGAACATATAGGAGGAAAAGTGCAAATATACACTAGAATACAACAAAGAAAAGTGCAACTTGTTTGGAAAAAGAATAATTGAATATATACAGGAATAATAAGGGGAAGTTTTTCCCACGTCATAAAAAGATAGTATAAGTACTGTGCGTAGTAATATACGCAGCATAAAAAAAATGTGTATTGGTATTCTAAAAATAAATTGTGTTTTTCCCTTTTTTGAGAAGTATCACGTGACATTAGGGATTTTCCATAAAGTCGAAATGCACGTGGATCTGGAGTTACACAGATATATGTGGTAAGCATATTGTAACAGGGAAATCACTATGGAAGTAAATACAACACTCCTGTCAGGGTTCATCAGATTTATTGCACAGTGGAGTGATTATATATATATTGTGTTGTATTATGTAAGCCCTGTAAATATCATAAAACAACAATAAATATAATGTAAATAATTATCACACACAATGTTCATTATTTTACATGAAGATAATAATTAGATTATCATCATTTATAATATTTACACTGTCATCAAAGGGAGATAACTCTTGAATATATAAATCTTTACATATTAATTACTCCCATAATATTCATAAAAAATATATTCCAGATTAAAAACATATAAATCTAAATCTCACCATTCTATGGGAATAGGCTTTCCCACAAATTGTTAATATAGAAGTATCTACATGAATGGTGATCTGTAATTTAATACAATTTATTTAAAAATATTATCCCTTTAAAAATATATATCAATTGCTCACTTTGAACAATATCATCAAATATATCTTTGATCATCATAAAAACATATAATCTGATTAACATCAAATTACTTCTGTTAAATACTTAATATTGATCTTGTAATCAATAATAAATATACATCATAAAATAACTTTCTTTCAAATTCATTCATTCACTTTAGTAAGTGCAAATGGAAATGGCTTTTGCATACTATAGGATGAACATTTAAAATATGAAATAATATTAGTAACTTACCAGAAATGGAAATCTGTCCAAAGTCAAGAATGTCTTTTTTTTAATATATATATAGTCTGGTCAGATCAACCATTGAACAAAGAATGGTCTTAATAAAGCGGGAAAACTCCAACCCAGTCAATAAAACCAATAGAATCAGACCTTTCAAATCAATAATCAATAAAAACCAAAATAACAATAACCACTTCCAAAACACCTGACCAATGCCCTTAGGTATATATATGTATGTACAGGTAAGGGAGAACTAAGGGGTGGATCTAGGTTTTGAATAACAAATTTAAATAAAAGTTAAAATATATCTTCTGGCAAGTTCTGTTACTTTATTTTTGTACAAATCCAACACTATTACAATATACATATCTACTTTAGGTAATCTGAGCAATATATATATATATATTGTTTTTTTGTGTTCATAGAACAAAATTGCAAGTTTTAACCGGTGTATAAGTCTGTTTAGTCAGACTGGTCTCTGACACCTTGGTATTTACAGTCAGTGTGGCCACTATGAGGAAAGTCCAACTGTTTCCATGGCCGCACTGGCATATGTTTTTGTTTGGGATACTGCACCTGGTTTAAGGTCATCAATTCTTGTACACATTTTTGTTTTGTCATCATGGTATTTTATGAAGATTTTCCCATCTGCCGTCCACGTATCTTTGATTTCTTTGTTATTTTTAAGTTGTCTTGCTTGATACGAAATCGCAGAACGGTTTTTGGTCAGATCTTCGAAAATATAGAAGGAAGTGTTATGAGACTGATTGTACTCGTGAACTGTTTTCCATCTCTTTATGACATTATGTCTTGTTTTCCATGAGGTAAATTTGACAATGATATCGCGGTTTGGTTTTGAGTTACGTCTCCCTACCCGGTGGCTCCTGTCAATGTCTTGCATATTTAAGTCAATTTTCATTGTTTCTTTTACAAAATCAGCTACCAGGGCATCAGTATTTTCACTCTCATTTTCAGTAATTCCGGATATTCTAAGATTTTGTCTTCGCGTATATTGCTCTAAATCATCATTTTTCAATTCTAATTCAACACATCTCTCTTCCGATTTCCTCAACTGGTCTGTGAGATTATCAATAGATATTCTTAGAGGGTCAAGTACACTCTGTAATGTTTCTGTCAGACTAGGAAGGAGATGACTGACAAGTGATTTTACTAGTACTTTTGAAGAGCAGATGCATTCAACAAATTTTGACATTATTTCAGGTTTATTTAATGCACCAACTAATGTGTGTTGGTAAGTCGATTTGTTGTGTTTATTGTGATTTATGAGCCTTATCTCAGAAATACGATATAAATCCTAGTATCAGTAATACATTTTGAGTATGACAACGCCTGCGATCTAATGCACATCAATTTTAAAAAAGGTTAAACGTTATACAAAGGATCTGAGAATTTCCACGTGTTTCTTGCAGACCACAATTTGGTAGCGGACAATATTTAAGGTTCCTCTAATAAATGTTACTATGTTTCAAAATACTAAAAGTATTCGTCATTGTATAAAAATATAGTTCAGTCAAAAACAGGGTTTCAAATATTATGAGTAGAGTAAAGAACTGAACTTTGTTTTCACTAATGAGCGATTTTTGTGTAAGATCCTTCATTGAGCCTCAGACACACCAAGTTAAATGTCCAATGACGGCTAAGTAAAGTGGCTCTACGTAGTACACATATATGGTAAATCAGATGTGTTATTTGTAAATCAAAATTTTGATATTCAAATTTTGTTGCTTTTTTGTTTTACTTTTTGTAAAAGAGATGCAAGTATTATTGATTATTTATATAAATAATTTTCACATAAGTTTATACTATGTATACAAACCATCATTTTGGACTTGGTCCTTCTGATTTGCAGATTAGTGCAGTATATGTAGTTCTCATGGGGAAAAGTAAATTAAACGATAAAAATTTTCAAGGATGTCAACTTAATTTGCTTATTGCTTGATATGTAAATTGTTCAATGTTCATCAAATGAAGAGACTGCAGCAAAATTGAAAAATAGGTTTTTTTTAAAGATGAAAATTGCATAAAGTATTAATAATTAATATTCTCTAGTTGAAATGGTTAAGATTGAAAACTTGAATTTCTGCAACGGCATTGGTTTCATCAAAAAGGGAGTATAATAAGGTACCTGATCTTAAGTTACCATTGAGCATGCTGAATCAAATGCTACCAAGCATGTTTATTTTTAATTGAATGTTCATTTTATGAAAGTTTTTCATATGCTCAATTAGACTTAGGTTGTTGGTTGCACTTGTAAGGAAGAGATAAGGTGCTGGGGGTGGGGTGGGGGGTAAACCTTGGTATTGATCCATAAATACCATAATATTCTTGTAGAAACCTCTAAGATTTTTTCTATAAAATTGAAAAAAAAATGAATGTTATGTACATGTAGCCACCACTTTATCTCAAAGGTTATTATTATTATTATTTTTTGGAGGACCTGCATTTTAATGGTACAGGCAAACCTTGTTACATTGTATTTCTATCCTGATGGGACCAATAAAAAAAATTAAGAAATCTGGTGTAGTTTGACACATTGAGGTTAAAATGCTTAAAGAAAAAAATGGAAGAGACTTTAAATGAAATATGAAGATAACAAACAATAATCAAATTCAAATTCACATAATTTTGAGAGATGGAAGCAAAACTCTATTCTTATAATGTCTCATAGAACAAAAGTTTTAACGGACACAGTTTCAGGAAATAAATACCATTCAGTTAAAACACTGACACCCTTCAACATGTTCAACAAAGATTAATATTAATATCTAGATTTAAAAGAATTGTTTTTGAACTTTTTTCCTAAAATTTATTATAACTATGTTTACCATGTTTACAGAATGCCTTGTTTCACAAAAAAAGAACACTGTTCAGATATTTTCTCTGGACTGTCAATTTCTGCATTTCATAATCATGTGATACCTGTGTTGGAGCCCTCCCAAAAACCTCCCCTGTAAGGTGAGTTTTATATCCCATTTAAAAGATTCTGTAAATCTAATAGACATGTGTATAAAGGTATAAGGTAGGTGTTATAATCACAGTGAGCTGACTAGTCATTTTCATTTTGTATGATTGGATTCAGATGTTATTCTATGGGTAATGAATGAAAGAATGTACAATTTTTATGATGAGAAATATATATGCGGTTGGATGAAAAGAAAGATTTTGTTTGAGTGAATTTTGTGTATGTGTCCATCACATTGTCTCAAGCCATGGTTGGAGTCCGCCTACAGCTCTCTCCTACCCGAGGCTGCTTGAGCGAATTAAGTATCGTTATCATGAATAATCAAACCTTATGTGTGATGTCACGTTATAACCCAATAAAAGTAATTGTTTATATTGCAGTTGACTTTATGACCAAATGTTAGGTAAACAGTGACTGAAAAAAGAAGTCACATCAGAGGTTATTTTTAAATAATTGAAAACTTCAATCTCTTTTAGAAGGAACTGTTTCTGATCATCTTCTTGTAGCTTACTAACACACATGTCATCATATCAGGTTTTTAAAATTCTGCCATCAAATCCTTACCTTGTCATTTAACCTTCAGATTTTGTACTTGTTTGCTTTATTTAATTATGATCTTATATGCTTGTCTCATCTACTTCCCAAGGCAAGATGACATGACCATCACTTGGGTTTACCTTAATTGATCTTATTTATGGTTGATCTCTTTGTATACAGATTAGACTCATATATCTCTATATGGATTAAACTACTCTGATCTACACTAATTGTAAATTAAAATAAGATATATTCAGTCCAACAATCAGTGTTAACCAACATTTACAATGTGACCATCATTGCTGAGGGATGTGTAGCCTTTGACCCTGAAATTTACATGTCTGTCTTTGCATGCTTTTTACTTAGTCATGATGTAAAGATTTAACTTTAAAGTTCCCTCTTTGAGAGTGATCAACAGTATTGTTTTTTTAGTGGTATATTATAAATTATTTATATTTAATATTTTACAGATTTCAAAGTTAAGGAGATCATTCAAATGACAGAGGTTTTGGTCCATCTTGGTTTGTCTCAACAGTTAATCTTTTGGAAAGCAGTGTTGGAGAAAATATCAGCAACATGTGAAGACTGTGATTTAGTTTCATATGATATGACTAAAGAAAGTTAATATTTTTGATTCCATGGTTGTATGAACAAATGCTTTGAACTTTCCAAACATCATTGAAAAAGAACATATGATGACCAAACAAAAATACATATTTGAACTTTCCACGAGTTTACAATGAAGAACATTTTGGGATCTTGATACAGGATATTATTGTGTTTAGTGTTTTAGTGTTTTATCTAATTTATTCATATTGTTTAGTGCATTAAGGACATACGCAACGTACCTTACCTACTGATACTTTTTCGAGATATTCTTAATTTAAGATTATAGTGCTATCAGATGTTCGTAGACAAAAAATCAGCATGCATTACCAGGGGTTTTGAAAAGATATCAATTGATGAAAATTCTTGTATAATTCAAAGAAAAATATACAAAAATTACTAAACATATATTCTAGATGTTATGTTTATCCAAACTTGTTTTAGAAGAAGTGTACAATAGCATATATAGACATTAAAATTTAGCACACAGTTCCTTTAAGTATTGGAACTCTTCAACTCCAATGAAAAAGACAATAAAGTTCAAACTATGTTGCGTATGTCCTTAAATGCAAAAAAATGTTTTAAAGTCACTCTTGTGAAACCCATGCTAAGAACACAGGTCTCAAATATCTTAGAGAGTTATATTAGAGTTATATTGTTAGAATTGAAGCTTATTTATAAAATTATACCTTATATCTTTAAAGAAAGTTTCACAAAAAAATAGTCAAACTTGCATATACTGGTTAACATGTTAAAAGAAATATAATATCCTGGAAGTGATTAAGAATAAAAAAAAAGTTCATTTATCATCCTTTTCTTTTGTTCTTCTTGGTGACTTTTTTTTTTACAATAATCAAAGACATTTACATTTTAGCTCATCTGAGCAGAGGCTCTGTTGAACTTTTCTGATCAAAGAGTCTCTGGTGTCTGTCCATCTGTCATCCATTAATTAAACCCTAAAATAGGGGTATCAAAGTTTGACATGGGAATAGATAGGAAAAAATTGTCCTTTAATGAACAACAAGGTAATGATTTACTCATAATGTATGCAAGCATCCTCAAGAAGTGAAGATTCAAGTTGGTCAAAATCATTTGCCTGACTTATTATTATAATAATATTAAAATATTCCCTATTTGTATTTTTTTCATTTTTTTTCTTCAAATAAATCTGAGATCAGATTTTACATATAAATTGGTAAATGCATGTATAAATGTGAAAAAAAAACTTTAGAAAACATATAAGCCATGTTAGCAATACTGATAATGAAATATCCTCATGTTGTGGAATCAGTTTTGGATTAGACATGGCCTTATGGCCCAGGGTGGGGCCACAATATTAGCTCAGATTTGTTTTTATGAGAATTAAGGGGGATAAGAATGTCTTAGAAATCTGAAGAACACCAAGGTGACTCAAGTGAATGTTGTGGGCTAGGCCTCTTATTTAAATTGCCCACTTCCATTATCCCTGCAGATTTTTAACATCTTATTTGGCATACTTTTTAAGGAGAAAATCATTTTTCTAACATTAATTTCCCTGTGTTTTGTACACACCATAGAGTAATATTTTAGAAACATCTGGGCTTTCATATAAAGTGCTATATTTAGATCAAAAGTGAGTCTCTTTAATTCTATTTTTAACACATTGCCATGTGGTTGGGACTACTTTCATGGCTAACATTTTCTTGTAAGTATGCATTTAAAGAAATGTACCTATTGTAGTGAGTTTACATTTAAATCAAAGGTTCTTCACAAATAGTTGTAGCCACTTAATTGTTTTAACTATTTCATATTTTTTTGGATTTTTTGGTGCACTACTAAAACCTGTGGCTGCGCAGTCCTGCAGGTGTATTGTGCACTTCATAGCTGCAAACTGCTGCAAGTGTCAATTAAGCTGCATATACCCAGAGATTGTTTTCATTATGAAGATGACATGGACCAGTTTTCAAGTGTTAGCAAGGCTTAATTTTTGAGATATTAAGGTTTTTATTTTTAGTGAGTCTCACTTGGCTGCACACAAAACCAAACCCTTAAACTTCCATAGACCCCTTCCTTTCTTAAAGTCGTTAAAGGCTATAGACAATGATATTATGGAGTGGTCTGATCTGTAGCTAGATTCTATAGTACATTTTTCTAAACCTGACAAAAGGTACTCTGATATTAAAAAGAAATCTAAACGACTTTGTTTCAAAGGAGTTTTTCTTCTCCAAGAGTATCAACGAACATTTTCATGCAATTGTCGAAAAGGGTCAATATAACAATTATTTTCTATTGTTTCCAAAACCTTTTCTCTTGCCTTTGGATTATTGATAGATTTATAATTATAATAATCTAATTCTGGGTTTAAAACTAAATTAAAATCACCACACCAGATAAAATTACTACAGTGCATATATAGTGCATTCTGTTTTGTATATCTAAATGTAGTAGTATTCAATATTGGACTTTTGCGAGAAGCGCTGACTTTTACAAACGACGGCTTACTTTTACACTTTGACAATATACGGAAGCTCTTTTTCGATATAAATATTAAGCTTAACAGTTAATCAAACGATAATAATGGGCCATTTCAAAGCACATTTTACGTTATCTAGGAAGGGAACGGCAACCATCCTACCCTTAATTCTCTTCACACATTCTTGCTTAGTTTTCCTTCCGCGATGTTTTTCTTCCTTATTTGATTCCTCCAGAAAATGAGATTGAAAAGAGATACTACCCTTTACGAATAAGGTAATTTAAGTTATGTAATTCTGCCTCCCATCATCTCTTGCGTTGATGGCATACCGGTAAATCATGTCCGTGCCCCTAACACCATATCTATAACCACTATTAAGGTTTTCATGTCTATTATCAATTCCGTACCTCCGTACATTAGGCAGGTTTAAATGTCCAAGAAAGTCGTCGACTGTAAAAGTCAGTGCTTCTCGCAAAAGTCTTATACACGAATACTGTATTGTTACAAGCTCTGCCAGCTGTGTCCATAACATATTTTCTAATTTCTTATTCCTTTATTACTTGCTGTCTACTGAAAAAGAAAGAAACTGATGATAATTATCCATGATTGGTGACCTCATTTTCAATATGAGATGTAATAATAACAAACATACAGACATTCAAACAAACAATTTATACTGATAGTTTGCATCTTAAAGATACATACCATTAAATTTCTCATCACACACACAGAAGAATTACATTACTATTTTTAAAATATTTCTTTCAATGGAAATCTAATTAAGAAATTTTAACTTTGAAAAATTTATCCAGAAACTTTGCTGTAACACAACTTCATATGTTTCCATATTACATTGAGCTGTTAAGTCACATTTTTCTACTTTTCACCGACGTACTAGTATGTGGCTTGACCAAACATAAAGTTGTTTAACTAAACAGATACCATATATATATATATATATATATATATATATATATATATATATATATATATATATATATATATATATATATATATATATATATATATATATATATATATATATTTAGTGAGATATACATCTACTTCAGCAAAGATATTTGACTCTTGAAAGAAAAAAATTGTGTTATTTATCCTTAAAGGCAAATGGTTCACGATGGGTTGGTAGGGGATGCATATCTTCCATGGCACCTGATCCCATCTCTGGTGTTTTTAGGGGTTTGTGTATGCACTTCTCAATTTTGAGTTGAACTGTGAGCTTGAGAACTCCTCGTTCTCTTCATTTTTTCATTGTTAACATTGAATCTATGAAATGTATTGATCAGTTGTAAATTTATTTATTATCATATTCAGATGGATGTTTTATACGGTCTCATCCGAAGGACCGGTCTCCATGGCCACGTCCCGCAGTGGGATTCGAACCCGCGACCTTAGGATCAACTCCTTACTCCGCGACTATAGAGCAGACGCTCTAACCACTATCCTCTGTCTTCAATAATCCAGAAGTGAAACAAGAATTAGATAGATTACACGATCAGTATGTACTGGTCCCAGCTGATAAAACAGGTAACAACATTTTTCTTGTTTGTAATTGGCTAATTATTTACGTGTATTTTTATACTGTAAAAGGAACTTTTAAATTTAAAAACACAAAATTTTACCAAAATCGGTAATATCAAAAAGTACGACTTCTCAGAACTTTATACAAATATTCCCCATGATAAATTAAAGTTCAGGATTTTTGAAATCATAGGCAGCTTCTTTTTCAATAAAGATGGAACTCGTAAATTTACTTGTCCTGTCATTGGTCATTTGCAAATTTATTTTGTTAAAAACGTTCTGATTGTACACACAAGTACTCTGAAGTTTATATCAAAAAGATGCTTGATTTTCTGATTGACAATATCCAGTCTGTAATTTTTTGAGATCAGTTCTTTCAACAATCTGTTTGAATTCCCATAAGTCCCAATTGCACCCCGTTATTAGCAGACCTATTTTTGTATTCATATGAAGCAGAAGTGATTCAAAAATCTTTACAAGAGGAAAAAAAAGCACTTGTTGTGGCTTTCAACTCGTCATTTAAATACATTGACGACATATTATCAATTAACAACAGTTACTTCCATTCAGATGTCGACTTGATATATCCCTGTGAACTTGAAATAAAAGAAACAACAGAGTCTGAAACCTCCTTATCATATTTGGATATTTTACTACAAAAAGACGACAATGGTAACCTAACAACAAAACTATATAATAAACTTGATGATTTCAACTTTTCTATCGTCAACTTCTTTTACTTATGTAGCAATAACTCTTATCATCTGCATATAGGGTTTATGTCTTCAAGTTGATTCAATACGCAAGAGTATGATCTACGTATGGACAATTTCTAAAACGAGGCATGCTATTGACAAACAAGTTGATGAAACAAGAATTTTAACAATCTCGTTTGAAGTAATCATTTCGCAAGTTCTTGAAAAGGTAGCTATAGGTATAAGTTGGATTACCACTTGCAGATTTAAATCCCAGTTCCTCTTAAAAGATATACAATTAATGAATTATATGGAGATAACGAACAGTATTCAAGCTCAAAAGTCCATTAAACAATACAAAGTAGGAGCAGATCAAACACGGACCTCTAAACATGAGAGGTGGGATCAGGTGCCATGGAGGAGTGAGCATCCCCTGCCGACCGGTCACACCCGCCGTGTGCTCCTTTTCATGATCGGGAAATAACGGAAAAATCCGTCGACAATTCAGTGTGTAAATAATGGCCTAACAATTAGTATGAAAAAACGTCAGTCAGTATTTGACTCAATGATAAATTGTATTTGCTGACAAGGTCATTGTATCGACCATAGAACTTACGAAATGATGACTTTAAACGAGACAGCTGATATTCTTGTTTCATCAACTTGTTTGTCAATAATTGACCTCGTTTTAGAAATTGTTCATACGTAGAGCATGCTCTTGCGTATCGAATCAACTGAGAGATATATACCCCGTATGCAGGTGATGAAGGTATATTGCTGCATAAGTAAGGGAAGTTGACGATTGAAAAGTTAAAGTCATCAAGTTTATCATAAAGCTTGGTTGTTAGATTACCAGTAACGTCTTTTTCAAGTAAAATATCCAAATATGAAACAGATGTGTCAGACGCTGTGGTATCTTTTATCTCAAGCTCACCAGGATATATCGTATCGACATAAGAATGAAAATAGCCATTGTTAATTGACAATACATCGTCGATATATCTAAATGTCGAGTTGAAGGCCACAGCAAGTGTTTTTTTCTTTTCACGTACAAGATTTTGGACAAATTCTGCTTCATATGAATACAAAAAAAGGTCTGCTAATAACGGGGCGCAATTGGTACCCATGGAAATTCCAGTAGATTGTTGGAAGACCTGGTCTCCAAAAACCACATAGATATTGTCAATCAGAAACTCAAGCATCTTTTTAATGTCAACTTCAGAGTACTTGTGTGTACAATCAGAATGTTTTTTAAGAAAATAATTTTGCAAATGACCAATGACATGGTAAGTATATTTACGAGTTCCATTTTTATTGAAAAAGCAGCTGTCAATTATATCAAAAAGCCTGGACTTTAATTTATCATGGGGAATGGTTGTGTATAAAGTAGAAAAGTCATAAGTTTTTAAGCTGTTGATTTTGGTAAAACCTAGCGATTTCAAATTTTCCAAAAGTTCCTTGGAATTTTTAAGTAACTATCCACATCTGATTTACACCACTTCTCGAATATATTGTTGCACAGTACTCTTGAAGTTTCTCCTTCACCACTGTTAATATCTTAGTGAGGAGTAGAGAAAGAGGCTTGGTTGAATATTTACTGGAACCCGCTATGTATCTTTGTTTGTAAGGATTTTTATGAAGTTTTGGAATCCAATATAAATATGGTAATTCAAATTCATTTTGGTTGTTTGGAATATTAAAAATATTTAAAACTGACATATGATTTTGAAGAATTTCTTCCTTAGAAAGGGAACTACGAGTATAAGTTGGATTACCACTTGTAGAATTAAATCCAAGTTCCTCTAAAATACATTTAATATAATGAGCCTTACAAACAAAGACAATATTGTTACCTGCTTTGTCATCAGGGACCAGTACGTACTGATCATGTAATTAAATAATGTGCCTTTCTAAGAAAGACAATTTTGTTACCTGTTTTATCGGCAGAGACCAGTATATATTGATCTTGTAATCATTCTTGTTTCACTTCTGGATTATTGAAGACAGAAGGACAGATGGTTTTCAAACTGCCCCTCAATCACTTAATGAGAGATTTAAATATCCATCTGATACTTTTTATCCATTCTGACAAAGTGTAGAGGTCTACTTTTTCACGTATGGCCCATCGCCTGGCGTCATCTTTCATAGAATTCATAATAATTATGAAATTATCGGGGTCCCTAAATTTTGACCCTTTTAAAAATAAGTAATTGAAGGTTGAAATCAATAATTATATTTACGACACCGATATGAAGCGTCCAGCAGGACTATAGTTGAAGAGTGAAGAAGAACATGAACACATTGGAGAATTATGATTCAGATGTTCACTGTAGAGTTTTTGTGATTAAACATTTTGGAAGCTATAGTCGATGTATGTTTGTAAGAAATACAAGGTGTGGACTTCAACTTGAGATATATTGGAATAAAAGACTGAAAGCTTTTGTGATAAAGAATATTACTTATTATAACTGTGTCAATTCCTTTGTTGGTATATTAAAGTTTAAGGAACAAACGGATTGTTTGAGCAAAAAAGCCCTATGACTTGCAATAGCCATAATAACGGATCCGAGCCTGTATTCTGGTGTCGAAGAATCCAAATATGGATCTCCTTGACTTTTAAAATAGACTATTTAAAACTTTCAAAGGAACAGGGTAAAGTTTGGTGCGAATGTGATGAAGACCTAAGTGTGTATTAATATAAGCTAGTAGTGAATCGAAGGAGACATCGTGTATAATAGGTTTATTGTAAGACCAATGTCCTTGACTAGGTTTACGTCTCTGTGTATTGTTAAAAAGTCCCATCACATTCACATTGCTACCCCGCTGGACTTAATGATTCCCAACAGTATCCTCATTGTGACAGTGTTCAGGTCTTCCTCTTCAATTTTTCGCCCTACGTTTGGCATAATCTTCAAAAGGATTCTTAAGATAAATGAAGTTCTGTGGCCAAATTGAAAGAACGGGGGACCTTTTAAAATGATTGCATTTCAACTACATCAACATCACCAATAATGGGGTCCATTGGGACCATAATTGAAAGAAGAAAAAGAAGAGGAACTTTTAAGAGGATTTGTTTTAAATATTCAATATTAAAATAAGTAATTTTGTCTCCTGATATGGGCAATTTCAATTTTTCTGTAAGTTTATTTGGATTTCTTTCCCTTTATTGGAAGCGAAAATAACATGTATATAGTTTTTACTCCTTCAATACACAATTTTGCCAAAAGTGAGCCTATACATCACAACAAGAATTAAAAAATCATGAATATTTATTAATCAATAATGTCATAAGATTACAAATTTGAACAAGTGCCAAATAGTCACTTTCTATTAAATCGGCCGTGTCCCCTGTTGGAAGGCTGAAATCACTTCTTGATATGTAAGTTGTAATATCTGCTCTGTTGATTCCCATTAAATTTTGGAAAGTACACAAAATGCCCTGCAATTTCCTGTATAAGGTAAGGATTTTTGGGTTTACGTGTGTGTAAATTTGAGTACTTTTTCCTCTGATTTTTATGTCTTCTATGTACAGCACAGCTAAGGAGACCAACGAATAATCTGAATTTATGTCTGAAACCAGCTGAAAAAAATACAGTCAATATAATATGAACTCTAGTTTTTTTTCAATTTAAACATTTATTTAAAGCAATAAGTACATTAGCCATGGACAATTGTTAGGTGTATGTTACGTTTCCTGTACAAAATTCATGAAATTCAACAATTAACAAGCAAAAGATAATTATAAAACGTGAATATATAAAACAATAATATGTTACCATTCTTAAATTTCTTTCAAGCCCATTTCAAGATAGACATAGTCCTGTATCTGCACTTACGAATACATTCACTATAACTATACAATGACCTTTACCAACGGACTGGCTTTGCAAAATAACTAACTGATAAAATCATTAGGATAAAAAGTCTTTTCAGACAATTCATTTATTAATTGCAGAAACACAATAACTAATGTCAACGAGTTCAGATATGTAACATGGACATATTTTTACACTTTAGTATGGTTTTGCCATATGGTTTTTATTATTGGTACATGAAAAATAAAAAAAAAAATAAAAATCCGCTCTACTTGTATTACCAAATATATGATATTTAAAAGGAATTCATGTTATCTCTGGAGGAAATTTTGAGAAAGATAAAGTTGGATAAAAGTATTCAAGTTTTCACTTATAATGTAAATTTGCATCAAGAAGTTGAAGTTAACTTGTTAAAATAAATCAAAATGTACTTGTGTCTCTTAGTTATGTTTAAATACTGAAACAACACCATTATTTAAAACGAAATCAAATTAATGATTCGGTTTGTTCTATTTTAGTGTCTGTTTCGTCATACTTTAATTTTTCATTACTACGTGTCCGTAAATGCAATAATTAGAACAGTATGTTAGTCTATTCACTCCCAATAATAGCAAATACCAACATTATAATCTAACGTTCACCTTTTCTTTTGTAATATGGTGATAATTTCAGATAATTCAGCGATTGAACTGATGATGGTTAATTGGAACATTAACCTGCACTTTATTTCCTTATTCAGATTAATATACTTACATTTTTTGACCGAGGAGAGACACGGAAGTCTAATCCTACAGCACTACCATTGGCGTTAGTAATCAACAAGGCCTCCTCGTTTGAAAGTAATTTGTCCTTTTTCTATACAATTTAAAGTTCATGAACAGATTATATTAATGAAAAAAATTGCATCTAATCTAAGAGGATTATAATTTTAATGTCAATAAAATATCTTTGTTTATCAAATTAATATGTAGAGTTATACACAGTAAAACACAATCTTACAAATATGTCCTTTAAGTCCTGAAGGGCCGCTTTCGCCTCTCGAAACACAATAACACAGGACGTTATCATATGAGTACTGTCTATCAGTGGTGGGTTTGTCGGTATTGGAAATAATTCTGAACTGAAAGAAATATTCGCATTTCCACATGGAGATTCCCAAACTTCTAACTGCCGAGCCGGTTTTGGCACTGATTGCTTGACAAATATGGATAAAAAAGTAAAGAAAAGTGCTGAAAAGAAAACAAATTAACATTAAAAAAAACATTCATTAAATAATAGAAAGAAGCATGAAGCTTAAGAGTCTTGATGGAAGCGAGTGGGTGTATATGGCCGGTGTATTCAGTGTACTCTTTGAAAGAAACATCAGGCGAACAGAACAACAAGGTCATGATCGTAAGATTTACACCGGACTGAAAGCATGTACAATGTGTTTTACTGAGAGAACACGGCTGCTCAATATTAAGTTTCAATGATCTGATAATGGTTGTTGAATTTATCAAGTGTCACCTACTTTGAAGAAAGAGGACAATCAACATGATCTGTTAGCACGATTTCATTTCTTGTATTGTCCATTTTGTTAAATTTCATATCAAGACATAAAAAAGGTTAAATGATGTAAAACAGTTGTGCAAACTTCTCTGTAATTTGGGATTTCCAACATATAAATTTACTTTAGTTCATTAAAAACCTATTTATATATCAATTTATTTAAACAAAATCGTATAGGAATAAGATATTAGTGTATAGATGATAAAATGCATTTTTAAGGACATATTTTAGATATAAATCTTGCACAAAATTATAATATGTTATTATTTTTATTATATATTTCATTTCCGTGTGAATTGCAAATGATCAACATACGACACTTAATTTTGATTATCAAATTACATAATAAGATTAAAAAAATTCTGAATGTCTTGCAAGTGCAAAATAAAAATTTTAAAAAATAAAACAGAGGTAAGTCAAATATATGCATCAAAGGAAAATATGTCTATACAAGGGTTAATATTCTGCTTTCATATACAAAAGAAAGGATTAATACGAATGTTTTAAATATTGGAAAGTTCTTACCAAAGAAAAGCACGCTCTCCATCTTAAAGACAAACAGGGTGAGAAAATGGTTGTACGGTTTGTAAATACATTTATATGTTGTCTGAAAAGGGAAATCACTAAACCTGTGATTCACGCTCACTGACAAGATTTGGAAGGAGTCACACCAAGGATGGACATATGTAAACGTGATTGTAAGAATAAAAATCTGGAACAATGTACCCATTGGGAAAATTATCATTATATCTTTATTTATCTTATATTAAGCAATGATACATTGATTTTCAAATGACGATATCAAAAAACAATAAAAAACTTTATCTAAAACTTGTACCAACTATTACTTTTACAGACAACTTTGTCAATATTGATACTAATTGTCAATATAAATAGAAAAAATTACAGAAATTTAAAAAAATAATAAATAAAAATTGTAGTTTTCGTGAAATTATTTTTATTCCAATAGGAATGTGCGTACATATTTTTCATGTACGTTGGTCAAATTGGAAACAAGCAACCCTCTTGGATAATTAAGCCAAAGATTATATAATGTGCGTGTATTATTAAAACATAGTTTATTAATGTATGTTTCACCTTTAAAAATAATTCAGTTACTGTCAAACATATTGAGTACTGTAAACAAAATGTACTAACATTTTTATTCAACATAAACATATACAATATCTCAACAATTTTCAGTTTAATTAAAATTAACTCCTACGTTTTATTATTTGTTATGCCTACGTTTAGGGGACTAATTTTAATTAGACTGAAACAATTTTTAATGTTTAAAACAAAATTTTACCAGTCACCCTGTTTGCAATCAAAATATCTTATTTTCTTCTGGCACATGAACAAACAATTAAAGTATATCTTAAACGACGCGTCTTTTTTTTTTTAAAGGTTTGACTCATTGGCTTAGAAATTAAATAAAAATAAAAACAAAATTATTTCATTAATGTGAACAATTAATGAAAGTTTTAAATTTAATGAAATGTTAATAAAAAAGTAAAATGTTTAGCAATCTCAAAGAAACTGAATGGTATAAAAGGAATCATGAGTATAGAGCTACTACAATTTTACACATGCTGATATTTTTTCCGGTTTATATATGTAATAAATAATCCTTATAAGTGAAGTTCTATTATGCCGGAATTTTAAGTTTAAAAATTAAAACATTTTTACTTAATAATGATTAAAAAAAATAGATTCGATAAACAAAATGCTGGACATTAAATATAAATGAATACTTTGAAAAATCATAGCAGCTCTTTAATATAGAAGTGTAGTTTTTTTGTAGAATGTGATGCTTTGAGTTACAGCTTTTTTCGGTAGTATGTGATGATGCTTTGATAAGTTACAGTTACGGAGTTATTATGTAAAATATACTGCTACGATTAACGATATAGAATATAAAACTTTAATCTTAAAAGCTCTTCGAAATATAAGAATTGAAATGATAAGAATCAATTGTTTAAAACATTTCGAGAATCGTAAGGTATATTTTAAGAAGATTGAATTGTGTTGTTTTTCTTAGATATGAACCGCTCTACAATTTAATTTTATTATAATTTTTTTTGTATTAATAAAAATAATTTTTATAATACTTATAGTCTCTTTCTTTTTTAAAACTATTTGGATTTTATTACAATGTCACCTCTTTTCAGACACATGGAACAAACAAAAATGGGATACATGGATAGGTATATATTTTTAGATTTATTCTGGTCGTTAATGATGCCTATAACGAATATTAGGATATTGTAGACTTTCTATGATGTTCAAATTGAAAATAAAAAAAATAAAATTTTATTTGGCTAAAATTATTCACTTTACTTATGAGGATTGTTTGGAAAGTTCGTGGACTACTGTCATAACTTTTTTTACTTAACGTCATATTATATCCAAACTTGGTAAAAATATTTCAACAAATAATTCAAATGACGTGAATGAAAAAAATTCAAAATATCGAGATTTATTTCAAACTTATATAGAGTTAAAAAAAAAATGCGAAAATGGTATCGCGGCGCAGGTCAAAATTTCGTTATTTACAATCAATACACTAATTAGTGTCTGTCGTCATTTCCACTGTAAAATGGCACAAAAACAGAAAAATCCTAGACGTTCAAATTATGAACTGTTACATCTTTTCATATTCCGAATTATGACATAATATTTTGCTTCGTTGAAAAGAAATCAATTTCAGAAGATAGGCAGTCCTCATTGAAAAGGGCAAAAAAAGATGACGTATAGAAAGTCACAGAGTTGCAGTTAACGAAAAAAATTTGTGTTTTACTCTGGAAAACTCCAGAAAAAAATCTGAAAATGCTGGTAGAAGAAGGAAATATGTAAAAAGCGAGCCATGCATGTGTGTGCACATGGGACAGGCGGTATTTGAATGATAGAGACTCTGTATCAGACAAGGACGATCTGTGAGAAAACGGATTATCTGTAAAAATCTGTTCAAAAACTTTAAAAACTTAGTAAAATCATGGTGAGAGTTAGGCACTTCACATTTGCTGATCTTGTGAAAGCACAGTTACGCAGTAAACAAAATATAACATTGACAAACAAAATTATGCTACTAAAACATATGTCAGCAAAATAAATTTCACGTGATAAAGAAAAGTTCTTAGTAAGTGCACTGGTATTGGGCCATACTGTGTGAAATGTATAGGGAGAATATTTTTGAGAAGTTCATGTTACAATGTTGTGGGTACCAAACATGTAGATTTTAAAATTGAATAACATGACTTCTGTTAAATCAAATGGAATGAAACTTCACACATCAACAAAATAAATATTTTAACATATAATAGTGTGCTCATTTGAAATTTTTTGAAGATAGTATAGCGAAGATTGACATGGTCCACGAACTTTCCGAACAACCCTCGTATATAAACATATATTAGTAATTAGTTGTTATTTTCATTTTTTTTTTTAAAAAAGTTTGTAGCATCTGTCTTTAAATCTTTCTTTTTTATTTTAACAAGGTCTATTTGTGGTTTATGAAGCTTTATGTACAGCATTACATTGGCGAAGCCTTTTACACATGAATTACTATGTGATTTGTACAGATTTGTAACTTCATTTACATCAATTATCAAAAACACAGTTTGTGATTTCTTGTATTTACATTTATTTACAAACTATTATACAAATATTTCTCAAGATAACAAGCTAAGACGCTATGACGATATGTGAATGGTTTTTTTTTTTATCGAAATGCTTAATCATTCTTCTTGTATCAGTTATTTTTTCCTGATACGTATATCTTCAAATATCAGGGACACACTATTTATATCTTTAATTTATTATTACTGATTATTAATATAACAAAAGAAATGTTTTGATATTGGAGTGGGATTTCGATTTTTCTTTGTCATTCGTTTAATCGAGTTATGACGTATTTTTTTTGATTGGAAATTTAAATTTTCTTTTTTACCAAAGATCTTCTTATTGATATATTTCTTGTATTAAGAAATTTGATATTTCAATTCAATTAAGGTCATCATCTTTAATCTCTCTATATCAAGGAAAATCACAGGTATCTTTAACAAAAATTAATCTTTTGTCAAACGATTTAAGCGAAAGAAATATGAGCTAAATGAACTACCGTGGCGGTATACTGCAGATATTAGGCATGATAGTAACTGCTAGAGTAATTCTTTTGTGCATAGGCTTATTTAAGTCTTTTTCTGTCTGTTAAAACATTGTTTTAAAAAAACTCCTTTCATGATAAAAAAAAATGCGCACTTGGAAGTTTATTGATTCTTCAAAAGGATTTTAATTTCTTGTGAGATGTTAAACGGTCACGAAAATGAACATGAATAATTACCATACCTTGCTTCATGTCTGTCAAGATTGTCCAGATCTTTTCATTAATGCATAATGCAGATTTGTGAAAGACCCGCCTTATATACTGCTTTTTTCATGGTTAGAAACTTGTAAATAGATACATCACTGTTTTATTTTAAGAAAAAGTTACCTTGACAAAGTGGGGAATATATCAAAGAAAATTTCCAAAAGGTCAAAAAATATCCCGAAATATAATTAAATAAGCAAAAAACAAGACAAAGGCTTCTGAAATGCGAATTGATTGGACAAAAAATATCATCGTTGAAATTGTGTACCTTTTCGTGTAGACAATGCACTCTGGACATCTTTACGGAGGTGT